GTCTCGGTATTCACTGACTTACTATATCATTCTGCAGCAAAAACTGTTTAATGTCTCACAGGAGACCATCTGTTTCTGCTTGCCTCTCTCAATGTAGAAACGAACTGGGTCAATCTCTCCCCATTTTTCATATGCTGGGAGAGCAGTGAGCTCCAGATCCACGAGAGCAAAAGTCCTGCAGAATTAACAGCCGCTTTTAACATAGTGACTGCAGGGAAATTAATGTTAGAAATATAGATATATTATATATAAACTAACAATCAAAAATAGCATATTCTAAAATATGAGGACCTCCTACCCAGTGTTACGCATGGTGGAGGACTTTGATGATGAGGGCTAGTTCCTCTTCCACTGACCTTGCCAGTGCTGTATGCTTGCAGGTCCAGTCAGTCAACTTTAAATGGATTGACGCTCAACAGCACAGCAGGGTTTCAATATAACAGTGTACTCTGGAGGGGTGTTCTGAAGTAAACTATGGCTAACGTATTGCCGACAAGTATAGTAACTTGTAATTGTGGAAGATCAATGGCAAGATTCCCGTTTATGATTTTTCTGTAATTTGTTGATAGATCATGTCATTGTGATTTAGGAAGGAAAAGACGTCACTGTGGAGAACAAAGAAAAAACAAAAGTAAAAATGGGAGCTTAAGATAATCTGTCGCACTGTACACACAACGGTTTGGGATTGCGGTGCAGTCTTCCTACGTCTCCTGACATCTCGAGCTGCCGGGTCACAAATTCTGATACACGTCACAACAAATATCCTCTCTATCGATGAAACATAGAATGAGTCTTACCCAGCCTCTGGGCATCACATGTTGTATTCGCTGTTGCCAGAAGGGTCATCTGTGCATTTGTCTGGTCAGATCTATCATATCAAGGAAAAACTTCTCAACAGTCTGAAGAAATGAAGAGTAGGTTGAGAGCAACTTCATCAGGATCTTGTTGTGGGTCACAAACTATACCCTGAGAACGACAGAAACGGGCTCATGTCCTCAGTCTCTTCCTCTATTTCGTCTCCTAGCTCCTCAACCACAGCCTCACTCCTCTTCCTCATCTTTTTCTCTCTGTCTGTTGACGCTGTCCAATGTCTTGTTCTTCCATTGCCAGAAACCCAACAGCGACTCCTATAATACATTGTTTACATGACATAACAATTAGAAATGTAGGGGAAAGCAGACAATTGTATAATCCCTTACATGAATGTACAAAAGAATTTGCAAATTGTTCAAAGAATTGAGAAACTGCTTTTTTGATGTGCATAAGTTACTCAATGAGTTGAAGATCGAAGAAGCAGTTTTGAGAATTTCGATTCTGACCGGAGAGTCAATTTTGACCAAAATGACTGAAAAAAATAAAATAAAGATAAATAAATAAATAAAAAGGATACAATTTCTCGGTAATGTTGAGTTTCTATGTTACACACCATCAATTCACTTTTCAGGATCTTCTAATGTAGCTTCACTGCCATCCTATGATTGACTTTTGTTTTCTCTCCAGCAAACCGGGAGACGAGCTGCTCATGCACGTTGGCGCTTGAGGCCTCACAGCACAGAGGAGTGGGAAGGATCACACTCACCAGCGCCAAGTGGAGAAACATGCTCAATTTGATGCAGCTGTCTCCTGGAGCAAATGTTGATGATCTGATTTATTTTTGTGTGTGTGTGTGGTTGCGACTGTGTTTCTGTTGCATTTGTGGAGCAAAGAGGCAAGGGGAAGAGGGTGGAGGAGGCATGGGGGGGGGGGGGGGGTTTGAGGGTCATGCATAGCATCAGAGGAGGCCAGCAGGCTTTGTTATGAAGCAAAGGGCACGCCAGGCCGGATGAGGATCAGAGCTGGATGAGAGAGAGGAGAGAAGACTGAGACGGAAAAGTGAGAGGGGGGTTTGGGGGGATTGGACTGTTGGTCTCTGAAGCAGCCGGTGTGCAACATCATTCAGACGGTGTGATGTACACATAGAAACCTGATCTAATGCAAGGTTTAAACAGCCTGACACTTCATTTTCTTTCAAAAACAGAGAGAAACACAATATAATAAAATGACCACGACCAATGCAGTTTTTCACAATTCTCAATTTGGCTGTGGAGTTTGTGTCAGATCTTAAGGTACAAACAGCAGCAAAGGAAAAACAAATGAGAATTTCAATTTTAAGACAAAACCTAATGAAGAAAACAGAGCAGATGATGCACCAACAAATGCTCTGTCATTTAATTAATTAATGAAGATAAAACATCTTATGCTACATTGTCAGCAAAATGCTCTCCAACTGAAAATATTGGCCCATTGTTTTTCAAATGACCAATTTTGGAGAGCCTGTTTCTACTATGCTGTCAGTTTGTTTCGTCAGGCTTAATTGAATAGTTTTACAAACCTTCAAAAACATGTTTCAAAAGTAATTCTTTGTTTTTGACAACTAATTAAATTAGTCAAGAACACACATACTGTTTATGCATTTGTTTGGGTAAATCAATCCATCCATCCATCCATCCATCCATCCATCCATCCATCCATCCATCCATCCATCCATCCATCCATCCATCCTCCATCCATCCCATCCATCCATCCATCCATCCATCCATCCATCCATCCATCCATCCATCATCCATCCATCCATCCATCCATCCATCCATCCATCCATCCATCCATCCATCATCTATCTATCTATCTATCTATCTATCTATCTATCTATCTATCTATCTATCTATCTATCTATCTATCTATCTATCTATCTATCTATCTAATGAAAAACACTAAATCTGCTGACAGCTAAAGACAAATCGAATCTTCACAGATCGTTTAAGATAGATAGTTAGTGAAGGATGTTAAACAGGTTTCCCTTTGGGAGAACACAATGAAAACCCAAATCAGCCAGTGTCTCTCCTGCGGTGAGCATTACAAGACAGGTGCATAGACTGAGCTCTGTAAAACCTTGGCTCATATTCCTCCTGACTGTGCTGAGTGTTATGTTGAGGAGCAGCATTACCACTGATCCTCTGTCAAAGGGTAAGTCTGCCTTTAGGGAGGGAGAGGCAGAGACGCACACACAGAGTTTGGAGTTAAAAGGTCAGCATCGCCGACTCCATTGAGGAAAATAAAAGCTCAAATGTCTTGCCATTTGGACGAAAAGGGTAAAGACGCCCGTCAGCACTCATTTACATGTTTCAGATCACCTGGAAGTGATATACTTATCTATATTATTGGATTCTACTTATTTGAAGACCCGTACTCTAATCAGAGCCAGCAAAAAATTACGAGGCACTGAGCAGGATGTGCTTTGGGGTCTCCACTTCCAAGTGAGCTCGTTGCCTCAATGATGATTGTTCAAATGTTTTGTGCATTCAACACCCACAAATTCTCTTGTGCTTAGCCTAAAAAATAAAGTAATTTAAAAAAAAGACTTACATTATTCATTTCGCATTGTGAATCAAATTATGATGTGTGTTATTATGTGTGGGGGGTGTGTGTGTGTGTGTGTATGTTTTCAGGTCTGTACAAAACAACTTGATTGATTGACTGATTGATTATATCAGAGAAAAATTATGAAAGAGAAAAATTAAGGTCAGTAATATTCATCAAAACTGACATAGGAATTTGGTCCAGGTTGGCCAACTCCAAGGTGCAGTTAGTCATGTCCAAAAATGTCCAACCACTACGAACAAGCTTTCTTAGAACTGGGAAACCTATATTTTCTTTAAATATTAAAAGAGAGAGAAAAAAACAGAGTACCTTTTTTTTTTACTGAAAGGGCAACATCCATGTTCTTATGCTCGATGTTCCTTTGATTTGCACTTTAACTGACGCAAATCAAGAAAGTGCGTCAATTCGGACAGAGAGATTCCTCTGGTCTGCATGGCCTCGAGGGACTGCCCTGCACGTGAGCACAAACACACACACACACACACACCCCCACACACACACACACACACACGCACACACACACACACACACACAAACACACACCCACACACACCCACACACACACACACACACACACACACCCCCACACACACCCCCTCCACACACACACACACACACACACACACACACACACACACACACACACACACACACACACACACACACACACGCATACTAACTCGCGAGACACTGTCATTCTCTCCTTAGAAAGCGTCATTCGCCGCCGCGCTCGTCCAATAGCTGGATGACTCCTGGGCTCATTAATCTCAGAACTTCATTTGTTTGCGGGATGCCGTTTCCATCTCTGTCTGCCCCTCATCCCGCCCGCACCGAGGAGGAAATCCACGTCTCTGCCGCGCTGCGAAGGCAGCGACGTCTGAAATGAACGCTCGGACTTTAGATAACGCTCGACTGAAAGAGGATCCGCTCGCTGGCGATTTGCGCAACAGCTCCGTGACATCAAAGAAAGGATGCAAGACAGGCCGGCGGACAACGGGGCTCCCGCTCCACCGAGAGGCTCGTCGTTTTTCATAGAGAATCTGCTGAGCAAGGGGTGGGAGAAACGGGGGTCGGTATCGGCAGAAGCCGAGGAGAAATCCGCCCACGACACCGACGAGAGCCCCTCGGCTTTGGACTGCTGTAGCGCCACGTCCCGCTGCTCGTACAGAGACTTTTCGATGCAGTGGACCCGTGATGGGACTGTGGCGAACATCGGAGCTTTTGAAACACCACGCAGTGAGTCAAGATAATGGCAATGACATTTCAATGAACAAAGCTTTTGGTTATTGTTTCTGGTCCACTGCGTAAAATGGGAAACCAAAGCGTCCCAAGCTTTAGAACAGCGTAACGTTCATATTTCTTAGTTATATTTACACGTCGATTCTGTTATGTTAACACTCGATATTATATTTCAAATTAGAATTTTACCTTTCTATAATTTGTTTTTGCTTAACTGTGCGTAAAAGGTCAATAATTAAATATCGAGAAACCGATTAGTTATATTTTATGGCGTTAAACCTTTGCGGACCCTGTGTGTGCGTGTGTGTGAGTGCGTGTGTGGGTGTGTGTGTGTGGGTGTGTAGGGGTGTGTGTGTGTGTGTGTGTGGGGGGGGGGGTATGTGTGTGTGTGTGGGGGGTGTATGTGTGTGTGTGTGGGGTGTGGGGTGTGTGTGGGGGTGTGGGTGTGTGGGTGTGTGTGTGTGTGTGTGTGTGTGTGTGTGTGTGTGTGTGTGTGTGTGTGTATGTGTGTGTGTGTGTGCTTCTGCTTTTCTTTTTCTCACCAGTTTTGGCTTTGACAGACTTTAAAAGCTAGAATGCCTTCCGTTGTCAAAGTGCTGCACGTTTCATTTCCAAGCGGAATGCCTGTTCAAACACTGTCACTGCAGCTGTTCATTGTAAAAATCCTAAATATATCAGACGGTTACATGCATAGATCAAGCACGACAATGTGACGATTTTACGCGCATTCAGTGACATTTGTGCCACTGTCATCATCACATCAGAGCTGAGAGCGCCTGCCTCTGATGCGTCACTTAATGGCTTTGACAAGCTGCTGGTATAATTGTCAAATTGGTTGCTCGCAGATATTTAAATGGAAATCAGATTATTTTTTCTTCTGAATAAGACTCACTTTTGCCTGGAAATAACAGCCTAAAAGTTCACAATCTGGCCAAGCTAACGAAAAGTATTTATGCGCCTCCCAACTTTGACCAAGCTGCTGGTTTGTTGTTCTGAAAAGCGGAAGAATTTTCCTGCCTATACGCCCGAGAAGATGGTGAAGAGAAGTCTTGACTTGCTGGTATTTACGCCGCTTCTGAACTTTCTAGTTTTGGTTAATTCTTCGAGTTCAAAAAGGAGGAGTTCATCAAAGATGTTTTGGAGCACCAATGTGTCAGTTACCCCCGCCAGGGGAACCTTGCATAGTCTGCCTGGTGTGACACGTGACGATGTGAAGCGTCATCAACTACACTCAGCTTATTGCCAGGAAATTAACTTTTATTACCCCCATAAAAATGTCTGCCAGCAGGAGGCTGATCGAGGAGCCCATGTTTCAGATTTCATTGTAGTCAACTAGTAAATACGGGAATCAAAGGGATGTGGGTGCAAGTTGCTAAAGGCTGGGGGCCTTCCGGGGGCCCTGCATGCTTCTTTGTTGTTGTTTTTTAAAAGAATATATGTTTTCTAAATTTCAAAATAAGTACACAACTATATCAGTGTGGTGTATTTTAACTTCAATATTTTGTGAGAGTAACAAATGTGCAGCTATTTAGAAATGATCGTGTCAGCAATATTATTATTATACGTCAGTGGTAACAACACAACGCTTTAAGGACATGTTAACTTGGTGTATGGTGATGGTGTTACTCACACCGCCTGGCAATATCTCTTTTGTATAAGTGAAAAAATAAATCCTGCAAATAGGATTGTAAAAATCTTTAAACTATGTGTGCACAGTCATCAGTTTATTGTAATTTGGATGTATAGGCTACAGTGATTTTGACGCCAAGGATCCTACAAGATCTTATCCCCAATGATCCATGGGCCTACTGTAAAACTATTTTAGTGAACAAGTCATTGGAATTACGCAGTTGGTCTGTCCTGGGATATGAAATGAAGCATGGATGTGTAGATATGACATCACGTAGACACAAATATTATTTTGCTTCTAAAGAAGCTACATAGAAGGAGCAACGTTAGAAAAACAATAGAACTCGTAAAAAAACTGAATATTTGGAATATAGTCTGCACTGATTTTATGTCCTCATCAGAAACGTTGTTTTGTCTCCTTTCAAGGCCCGACATCGGATGACCCCAGCTGCGCACTGTCAACCAGCGACAGGAACTCCCCCGCCGTTTCGGAACCGATGACTGAGAGCAGCGACGAAACCGACCAAAAGACGGCTGACGGCAGCCTCACGGACGAGAACGAGGAGTCAAGCGGGTTGGACGCGCGGCGGGAGCGGGACTCAGCGTCCGGGTCGCGCTCCGGCCGGAAGAAGAAGACCCGCACCGTGTTTAGTCGCAGCCAGGTGTTCCAGCTGGAGTCCACGTTTGACCTAAAGCGGTATCTGAGCAGCTCCGAGAGAGCGAGTCTGGCCGCGTCCCTGCACCTGACGGAGACTCAGGTGAAAATCTGGTTTCAGAACCGGAGGAACAAGTGGAAGAGGCAGCTGGCGGCAGACCTGGAGGCCACGCACATCCCGAACTCAACTCAGCGGATTTTTAGAGTGCCGATTCTGTATCACGAGAGGCAAACTTCCACTGGAGTTCTCGGTTTCAGCCTGAGCGGACTTCCAGTTTCCCCCTCCTGGTCCGTCAGCCATCCTCTGTCGCCGTTGAATATGTTAAGCTCACAGATGACCGGCTTGGTGTAGAACCTCAACCTGACTGGAAAAAAAAAAAAAAAAACTTCAAATATTCAGTCAGTCAATATAATTGTGCAATAATCCAGCATGCCGCAGAGGGAAAAATGCGGTCTGCACCAAGACATACGAAACATCGAGACGTTCTGTTTCTGTTCCTGAGGTTATGCAACAAATCAATAAACCCGGCCAGACTGTCGGTAGCGGGTTGTATGTAATGTTTAAATACACGTATTTTTTGAAAATTTTTATAGTCTACTTAAAGTCACAGATCTTTTTTCCCCAACTTTGTCACTTTTTCACATAATTAGAAAAAACAAATAAAACAATCATGCACTAAAACGTACGTGTTTGTTGTCATTGTGCTCCGATCCTTACCTAAATTTAGTTTGAACATTTCTAATTTTCTTCGAGCCAACTCATCAAGCATGTAGAGCTTTATTTAGGATTTTTTATTTTTTTAATTAAGTTAATTAATGTTAAACTTCTTGGAGTGTCCCCTTCTTTGTATGTTTTACAGCGCACTGAATTCATAAACTACAACTTTCTGACCTTTACCATATATATATATATATATATATATATATATATATATATATATATATATATATATATATATATATATATATATATATATATATATTACAAAAGAGAGAGAGATTAACAACATTTATTCCGCAATGCCTATAAAGAACATCTTAAAGACATTTGGTGCTTTGAATGACATTTCAGAGTTCAATTAGCATCGAGTATCAGCCGTCCCGCAGAAAGGCTGAATATATCTGAGAAGTCCGCAATTAAATGTGCAGGACGGTGCATGTTTTACAACGTTGACATTTGCAAATCAAAACACATGAAGGAATGCAGTTGGTGTCAAATTAGAAGTTGTAAAATCGCATTATGTGATCCTCTCCAGGGGCTCTGTAATGACTCCACGAGACACCGCTCCGATGATGAGAACAGTATGAGGTGTTTTTTTTTATTATTGAAAAAGAGCCGCAGGAACCCCCCCCCACCCCCCACACACACACACACACACACACTGCTCCCCCGGGTTCTCCCCATCTGATTCTGTTCTCCGACTGCCATTGGCCCTTTCCGACAGAGTCTCTGAGCCAATCAGCGACGACCCAGCGCTCGGTCTGGTGCGAGTGGTAACAGCGCGAGTAGATCTGAGCTGCGTCTGCTCAGTGGCTGCTGCTATGGTGCGAGGACCGTCCCACCGCCAGCGGAGAGAATAACACCCCGGTTCAGAGTTCAGGGAGAAAGTCTGAGGTGGAGGAAAAATTACAGTCTCACACAGGAGAATATGAACAAAGCAGAAGCACCATGTCGACCCATCGCCTCTCTGAAATTCACCATTGACAACATCCTGAACCTGAGGACGAGCTGTGACAGCTGTCATTCCTCCGGGCAGCAGGATGAAGCGGTCCCAGAGCGGAGGCCAGACCCGGGCAGCAAGCTGAGCCAAAGGGGTAAGAAGTTTGGAGAATTTGCCTTGTTTATCGCCGTTTTTCCTCAATCCGACATGTGGAGAAACTAGAAAGGCCTGCTTGAGTGAGTTTCGCTGAATTTGCAGGGCTTCTGAGCACCGGCAGCGGAACGGTGGACTCGGTCATCATCGGCTGCGTGAACCAGGGGAAGGCGGCCGACACGCGCTTCGAGAGCGGGGACAGCAGCTGCGACGACAGCGGCTCCATCTCCACCACGGTGACGGCGGCAGCGCTGGTGGCTCCCGGGGACCCCCACAGAGGAGGGAGCCCCAGCAAGAAGAGCAAACTAGTGAACAAAAAGAAGACGCGCACAATTTTTTCCAAGAGACAGATCTTCCAGTTGGAGTCTACCTTCGACATGAAACGCTACCTGAGCAGCGCGGAGCGCGCGTGCCTGGCCAGCTCTCTGCAGCTGACGGAGACGCAGGTGAAAATATGGTTTCAGAACCGCAGGAATAAACTGAAGCGCCAGATCTCCACCGAGATCGACGGACCGGCCGGCGATTTCCCCGAGGCTGGGAAACCGGCGTCGGTGGGGAACCTGCCGCCCTTGTACAAAGAGAGCAACCTGCTGGGCAGATGTCTGCTGCCCATGCCCCTTCCAGTGGTGTACCCGGGGAGTAGCACGCCTTACCTCTGCTTCTCTAACGCCAGCAAGTACTTCAGCCTGTACGACGGGGACGTATGACGACATTGCAATGGCTTCCTGTGCGGAAAAAAAGACTATTTTTGGTCGCCCTGTAGCCAAGTTTTTTGGAGCGTTTGAGACGTTTAGCGACCATAACTTTTTATTCTAAGCATCATTTTAATGAAGACTGTAACTCTAATGGGAAATGATTAGTTTCCTATTCCATACGAATAGGCATATGCAGCATTATTTATTTCCAGTTGAAGAAAAGGCCTTTAGAAGAACAGGTTACATAACTGATAGTCAAGAAGAAGGCCTGAAACAGTTACATGTTATTGTTTATCGCATACTATTTCTTTTTTCTTCTTCTTATTATTTTATCAACTGCAGCCTAAGCCACCAAAGAAATTATTACTATAGCCTATCTGCATGCGTTTTCTGTCATGATTTTTTAATACTAAAGTTATGTATTTAAATGAATGTAGTTAACGATTTATTTAGTTTTACGCATGTGTTTTATTTTTTTTTTCTAAATATCCGTTCTTACTTTATTCCACTTTGCCAAGAGGCTCATTACACATTTTAATGTTATTAAACAGCTGAAAAATAAGCTTTTCAGAATTAATTCAATTTTTTGACATGCAAATATATTTCAGGAATTATATGAAGATGAAAAATGAAAAAAAAAAAAAAAAACAAGAACAAAACAATGCTATTTTCATTACATTCTGCAGTTTTTCACAATGATCCAAGGTGAAAAGTACAAATAAGCAAACTGAACCTGAGTTGCAAAAATGTAGACAAGTAAAATCTTTTAACATATGATTTTATAAATTGACCTGAGGTTGAATCATAATCCAAAACCCCATACTGCTGCTTCACCTGTTTTAGTGAATGTGACAAGTCAAAAATACATCAGAAGTACTGCTGAAAGTAGCTAAAAACTATTATGAAAAGTATAAATATTTGTAAAATGTAAGCGATCAATGAGTCTCATCATGCACTCATGCGTCTGGTAAATTTAAAGTAAACTCGATAAGTTTAGAAGGGAGTCACATGGAGACATGAGGTCTGGAACTCATGCCTGTCTGCATTTCTGAGTGGTGTGCAACTGCATTACATCTGCATGTATTAATTATGCAATGTGCAATATGTCAGAAGAGGGCCATGGCGATCGTAATTCTTTACCTTGCTTAGGCAGTAAATACGGGAAGTTGCTGATCCTTGCAGCGAATGGATGACAAATGCAGACAAAAGGGTGAGGCTTATCTCGTTTTGTTTTGAGGAAGTGCATCTAATTCCAGTCTCGGCAGCAAGTCCAGTTTTTATGAAACATACTTAGACCATTGTGTTCATATGATCAGTGCTCACAGAGGAAAATGCACTCTCCTGTAAATATTATTCAGACGAATAAAATCCAATTATTTATAAAGACCTTTTCAGCACAAGTGAAACACTTAAGATTATAGTATAATAAAAGCTTAATATAATAAAAAGTAACATGCAAAAGAGGAAGCAGATAAAAATACAGTCGAAGTAAAAGGACAGATGGGTTAAAAACAACAAAAAGTGAAGGACAAGTAGTTGGAAAAATACACAGTGATTTGTATACATTTTTCTTTATATTATTATTATTATCATAAGTATTGTTGTTAATGTTATTATATCATTTATATTTTTTCAAAATAGTTATTTTAAACACAATTTTTTTTTCTGTGGGTATGTTATTTTCCAAAATAGATAATGCTAGTCTAATAATAATAATAATAATAATAATAATAATAATAATAATAATAATAATAATAATAATAATGGATGGGGATTATGTGTTTTTGCTATAAAGAGCGAAATCTAATTAGATATTTATACATGTATCTGAATCTAGAAGAGTATTTCAAAATAAATATAAGCATTTAATTCCATTTTAAAGTGCAAAACCTTTTGCTGGAAATGCTTGAGCTCAACGCTACGTCACATATGAAGTCTTACAGTTTTAATTCTCAGCCTTGGTGCTTATTTTTTAAAAAGTGGTTATTGAGGCATCTTAAATAATTTCTGTTTTCTCCATAACACATTTGGATTTTTGATGTAATGATTTGCTGGTCATGCATTCAGCAAATGCATTGCACCAAAAAGAAGACACAAATTTTATTCTTGTGTTTGTGAGATGTTTAAAGGCTGAATCCATCAGTATTAAACTTTGATCTTACTATTATACATTAATTACATATTTAACCTTTAGTAACTATGTTATTTAAAATGAGCAGGGTTTTGTCTTTGTCTTTGATCTTTGACATTATTTTATTTTCTATTGGATTGAAAGACAGAGTGCAGGCACGTGTGTTTACTAAATTAGGAGGCCCGTCAGGCTGTCTCATGTTTTCAAGCTTCAGCACTCATCTATACCCACAATGCTTTGCGTCTAGTTAGACATTTTGGCAGAGTGCCAACCTTTAAGTTGTGGCATGATGGCATATCGTCAGCAATTACCTTACACATATTGGGGAAGATAACACCATCTTGAAACCATCAGTTTTCAATGCGTGACTAACAGAGAGGGAGACAAATCATTTAAAACAACATATGATTTATTTAACTTTGCACATTAACTCAGAGCACTGCTGCTTGTAAGAAACACTAATTGCTTCTACTTACTTCTAGTTCTACTACTCAGCCCTTTTCATTTTGTCACTCTTCCGACCCTCTTCCACTCTCACTGTGCTTCCCTCTTGCCTACCGCCTTGCCATAGCTCATTATCGTAATCTGTGCACCGAAGCACAACTGTGTTGATTATGTCTGAATGAACGGGGGCCGAAGAGGGAGAGCGTGCTATGAGGGAGGGAGTGGGAAGAAAGGGAGAGAGCCGCTTGATGAGTGTGTGTTTGTATTGGAAAAGCCGCGGTCCAGTTTGTATTGCTGCATGGGTCTGTGCTTCACTGTAGCCAGGGGTCCCCGTTGTTTCCTGAGAAGAAAGGGAGGCGGCGAGCAGCTCCAAGTGTGTCGTAGTGTGAACCCTGCCTGGGGGACCTTTTCTGCATGACATGCTGGGGGCCCCTTGGTGGACTCACCCATTTCTTTAACCTCTCTTGACCTCTCAGTGTCATCTGACAGAGGTCATCGCCCAAGACGACGGGACAGATCGTCAGCATGCAAGAGTCAAAGCAGAAAGAAGGCCTGCTTTAATGAAGACCTAGACTTACAACTGTTTAGTAAAGCTAAAAAAAAACCCACGTTTTAAGACGCTGTTGTGCCAGCTGACCTGTTCTCTGCTTGGATTCCTCCGAGCGTCCCAAAGCCCTGCAGGGAAATCCGAGACCAAAACTAGCTGATGCAGCTTATTGTTCGGTAAACAACAAGGCTATTAGTTAGGGGTGGAAACTTGAAATGCAACGCCTGTGTATGTGATATACATTATGGGCTGCAAGATGGCCCATTGATCTGCCTATTTAGGATCTCCCCCTCTACCCCATTTACCACCAATGCAAATTGGTGGAGGAAATTGAAAGATGCCAGTGGGGATGAAATCCGATAATAGAAAGTGATGCAGAGTCAGATAAAAGTGCAAAGACGAGAGAAGGTGAGGCCAGACTGGAACGTGTCCAAAAGTTAATTGCAGGGGAATCTGTTTGAGAGTAAAAGTGCACAATTTTTAATCAATTAATTTTATGAGGCATAAACTACATCAAACACAATCGCAATGTGTTTTACAGACATGCTGCTATTACTGTACTTAATTGGGATTTTTATAATCAAGTTTTGCATAATTTATTTGAAACATCCGGTTGCCAAACTGCTTATAAGTATTCAACTGCAAGTAGACATAGTTACCATTTACGCAACATTCATTCTATGTTGCCCACTAACAATAATTTCTGTTGCATTTTCTGCTTCAGTTTAGATCTAAGTAACGCACTTTAAAAGACAAAAAAAAAAAAAAAGCCACTGACTTATAATTCATTAAAATTTATGGTAATCTAAAGATTTTATCCAAATGAAAAGCATATTATTATTTGAGGTGAAATGTATAGAACTACGTCTGTTTTCTCTCATTACCAGACGTCAAAACCTCTCACCACTGGAAAACTTTGGCCCACGAATGCAGGCTGTGTATCAATTAAAGAGCATCATCTCTAACACTCTCCCTCACGTCCTGTCCCCTCAGACGCCCTCGTTAGGATAATGTGCCATTAATCTGCTGCTGAAAACACATTATTAGTCCAATCAATAGGTTAGATGGAGGGATAAAGGCAGAGGAAAGAGGATGAGGAGGACGGGAGGCAGCAGACGGATGCTCTAAGTCTGAAGGGATGCGTTCAAGCAAAGGCGGGGGTATTGACACTTATCCATAACACCCGAGAAAGAGAAAGAGCTCCAGTGAATGCAGAGAGGAATAATCACTGTGGTTTCATGCTGACAGTCAATAAAGATCCATTAGGACCAGAAAGAGTTAGCAGAGGATGTTGACTCTTTCTATTCCCATACTATTGTACATATCTCCTTAACAACAACAGAATGCTATCTGATATTGGGTCACGTTCCCAAGCTCTTGGGATTTACAAAACAGGGGTTTTCATGTCTCCAGCAGACATGGCCACACATCTGAAACCAGTAAATGTGGACAAGTAAAATACGTTAAACATCTAAACAAAACACAGACTCGTGTTAGAAAGGCAGCACAACAAGTTGAACATTTCACACCATCAAAATTGCCGCATTTGAGAAGCAGATTTTACACAAGTTTTTGGTTTTTCAGAAAAATCCATTACGAGAAGCTCTCTACCTCGCTCAAAACATTTTTTCTTAAATAATCACAGGATATCTGATGCTTCAAGATGTTTTTCAAAAAGAGTCAAACGGTCTTTGAATCCCCTCTAAGTAAATTACTATAAAAATCAGATATTTAGATACACAGCATGAAAATACCAGTAACATTTTTGGCATTGTTTGAAATTAAAAAATTTTTTTCTTTACTTACTTTTGCTTAAGTCCATAACAATAAGTATCTTTTTAAATATATTTTACTTTTTAAAATTCATAAATGTAAATGCACAACAACTACGCTGCCTTTGAGAAACACACTTTGGAAAAAGTCCTCATGATGATGTCATGCCTTTGTAAGTTTAATCATTTACAACATTTGAGTTAACTGGAAAAAGACCTCAAGATGTATTTAATGATTTGATTTAAATGTGAATATCTACCCTATAACTAATGCCAAAAAGTAGTTGAAAGATAATCAAGCAAAAAAGGAGGTGTTACTACAACAGCAAAAATTAAAGTGTCTTTGCAAATGATCTCTATTGTATTTGGAGGAAAATGGATGAAACTTGCAATTCTGAAAAATACATCCCATCTGTGAAATATGGGAGTGGTAGCATCATGATGTGGGGGTGAATACTGCAAACGGGACAGCATCTATCCCCATTTAGATGAGAGAATGAAGAAAATCTTGATTGATATACTTCTCAAGACCTCAGCCATGATGTTAAAACGTGAGTACAAATGGGTTTTCAAATGGACAAAGAACTCAGTCAAACCCTTGGGAAGCTAAATGTACCATGAACTATTTTGAGAAGCTTGTAAAAATATGTCCAAAACACTTC